GTCATATTAAACGTCGACCATTAGATGATCCGATTAGGAGAGTAGATGTTTTAAATCGACTTGTTAAGAAAGGCAGAGGTAGACCTAGGAAGACTTGGGCTTATTGTATTAAAAATGATCTTAATTTACTAGAACTAAATGAAAATATGACACTAAATAGGACGCAATGGAGAAAAAGGATTCATGTAGCCGACCCCACGTAGTGGGATTAAGGCTTTGTTGTTGTTGTTGTTGTTGGAGCTGCACTAGGGAGACCTATGAAATTGGATACACCCACCTTCAATCTAACAAGGCCTTCGGTTGCAAGAATTCTTGTTGAAAGGGATATCACCTTCCCTGATGTAGACGAAATATGACTTGATACTGCCCACAATGGGTATTGACAACCAATTGTTGCAGAACAAAGATCCTACCACTGCAATCACTGTAAACTGTTTGGGCACCCCTGTCAAATGCTTCAGGCTTCACCCACATTTGAGATCGGTAGGTCCTAACAACATCATTCATGTGGAGATGCTAACAACATCATTCATGTGGAGAAAAATATAGCAGACACTGTTAATCTTCCAGAAATGTTGAATGATAATTTGACTCGTAAAGCTACTTCTTACCAACCAGATCAACAGCTTTTGCCTACTGTTATTAGAGCAGTTCCTCCTCAGATAACAAATACTACGAATTTTGTTCTAGTAGGTGCTAGTCAAAGTGTCCTGGAACCACCTTTTGCAAGAGAATAGGGTACTCAAGTTCTGGAGGAGTGTCAGGATCAAGGTGTGTTGCAGGCTAAGTCAGATTAGCAGTTTACGGATCAACATCCCCCCCCTCGGGGTGAGCTTTCCATCGAAGATCCACCTATTGTTCAAACGGGACTACCTTTGGCAGATGATTTGTAGGTTTACAAATCTAGGAAGAAGAAAAAATGAATGTTAGATCGCAGTAATTCTCAGGATGACAGTCTCATAATTTCGGGTGGAAGCCCACATCTCAGTATGTTGCTGGAC